CTTTCGGCTCAGGTCATGATCCTGGAGTCTCAGGATCGAGTCCTGCATCGGGCTCCCTGCTCAGCAGGGAGTCTGCTTCTCCCTGTGACCCTTCCCCCTCTCATGTGCTCTCTCTCTCTCATTCTCTCTCTCTCAAATAAATAAAATCTTTAAAAATAAATAAATAAATAAAACTTTGTATCATGATAGGGGCGCCTGGGTGGCTCAGTCGGTTGAGCATCTGCCTTTGGCTCGGGTCATGATCCCAGCATCCTGGGATCGAGCCCCACATTGGGCACCCTGCTCAGTGGGGGGCCTGTTTCTCCCTCTCTCTTGCCTGCTACTCCCCCTGCTTGTGCTCTCTTTCTGTCAAATAAATAAAGTCTTAAAAAAAAAACTTTGATATATCTTGTGACTTTAAAAAGTTTTGTTGTAAATATATTCTACATTGCTAATCCAGCTTTCCATATCTGGTTCTCCAATAATTATATGAACTTGGGAAATATCTTATATTTCATATTTAGGTGATAAAAGTAGCTTATAATAATAATAGTGATAGCCAACATAGGGGCGCCTGGGTGGCTCAGTCAGTTGAGCATCCAACTCTTGATTTTGGCTCAGGTCATGATCTCAGGGTTGCGGGATGGAGCCCCACGTTGGGCTTCATGCTCAGCACGGAGTCTGCTGGAGATTCCCTTTCTCCCTCTGCCCCTCCTCCCACTTGTGCGCAATAAATAAATAAATAAATAAATAAATAAATAAATAAATAAAATTTTTTAAAATAATAGTAACAATAACAGCCAACATCTCTTGGGTACTTACCATGTGCCAGACACTATTCTAAAGCCTTCACGACAATCTCACAAACTAGATTATATCATTACCCCGTATTACAGCTGGGAAAACTGAGCCCCTGAGTAAAGGCACAATTTACTTGCCTAACATCACACAACATGCAAGTGGCAGAGTCAATCACAATTTCACACTTGTGATCTGGTCTCGAACCCACCCCTTTGAACACTGTGCTATCACTTACTGTTTTTCACTTGAGCATGCATTAGAATTACCTGGAGGGCAGGGTGCCTGGGTGGCTCAGTCGGTAAAGTGTCTGCCTTCAGCTCAGGTCATGATCCTGGGGTCTTGGGATGGAGCCCCATGTAGGGCTCTGGAGCCTGCTCAGTGGGGAGTCTGCTTCTCCCTCTCCCTCTGCCCCTCCCCCCTGCTTGTGCTCTCTCTCTCTCAAATAAATAAATAAAATCTTAAAAAAAAAATTACCTGGAGGTCTGTGGAAACACAGATTGCTGGGGCCCACTCCCAAAGTCTCTGATTCAGTGGGTCAAGAATTTGCATTGCTGAAAAGTTTCCAGGTGATCCCAATGCTGGTGGTCTGCTGAGTACACTTTTAAGAACCTTAGCTAAATTTGTAACTCATAATTGTTTTCATAATTTCTCGATGGAGAGAGAAGGGTCATGACTAGCTACCAACAGATTGTTGAATTCTATGAGGGATCTAAGAGTTAAGATTACTAACACTTTTTTATAATAGCCAATAATAGACAGCATCCGTTGATGCTTAAGATGTGCTAGACCCTGGACTAGGCACTTTTCATGCATTATCTCATCTAACCTTCACACCATTCTTGGGAAATACTTTTATTTTTCCCAGTTTACATTGAGGAAATAGGGATTTGGAGAGATTAGGGAACTTGATCAAACTTATGTGCCAGCAAGTAACAATTGTAAGGTTCAAGTCAAAGACTGCTTAACTCCACAGCCCAGTTGACTACAACACTCTAGACTTTGCATGCAGTAGATGTTCTCTCTCTATGGACTTGCCTATTCTGGACATCTCATATGAATGGAATCATACAATAGGAGGTCTTTTGTGACTGGCTTGATTTAGCATAACTTCCCAGTAATGAGTTATGACATCTGTGAAATGTTGTCTATGAGAGAAGCTCATTAGAGACTGTGCCAAAGGTTTTTAAGGGGGCTTGTCATGCAGGCACCTTCTGCCTAGCGCATACCAAAATTCCATACTCCCGGGAGGAAAGCCGGTAAACTATGTTGTTTGCATAAACAATTAAGGCACACTGAGCTACTCTTATCAGTTGGGGTGGTGGAACCCTCCCCAAACACAAATTCCCAGATCCTAGCCAAGGGCCAACCTTGGAAGCAGGATTTTCAAATGATGGTATCCCTGGGCCTGCTATGTTAACTGTTTTGTGCACAGATTTTGATAGGAATTATGCTGATCTATAGATCAACTGGAAATGTAAGATGGAGAATATCACCATCTTAACCATATTATTACAATTTTTGAACACATGATGTCTTTCCATTTATTTACATCTTAATTCCTCTCAATGATATTTTGTAGTTTTCAGTGTGCAAGTCTTGTTCTTCTTTTGTTAAAGTTATTTCTAAGTATTTTATACTTTTTGATGTCATTGTAAGTGGAATTATTTTCTTAATTTCACTTTCTGGTTATGTCTTGCAAATGTATATAAATGAAATTAGTTTTTTTTCTTTTTTTTTAAATTAGTTTTTTTTCTTAAGATTTTATTTATTTGAGAGAGAGAGAGAAAGAGCACAAATGAATGCTGAGCAGGGAGCCTGATGCAGGGCTCCATCCCAGGACCCCCAGATCACAACCTGATCCAAAGGCAGCCACTTAACCAACTGAGCCAGCCAGGCACCCCACAATTATTTTTTGTATATTGATCTTGTATTCTGCAACCTTGAGCTGTTTATTAGCTCTAATAGTTGTGTGTGTGTGTAATCTTTAGCCTGTTAATATGGTGGATTACATAGATTGTCTTTTCTGAACCAGCCTTGCATCCCTGGAATAAACCCTACTTGGTCATGTTATATAATTTTTTTGTAGTGCTAAATTCTGTTTACTAGTATCTTGCTAAGGATTTTGCATCTATTTTTCATTTGCGTATTTTTTAATCAGGTTATTTAGGGTTTTTTTTTTCATTGCATTGGAGGAGATACATATACACCTCTCCTACTACATATTCATTCTGGATATTAATCCCTTATTAGATATGACTTGCAAATATATTCATTCATTCTGTAGGCTGCCTTTTCACTCTTAATTGTGGTCTTAGATGCACAAGTTTTAAATGTTGATATAGTCCCGTTAACTATTTTTTTTCTTTTGTTGCCTGTGCTTTTGAAGAAATCATTGCTAAATCCAGTGACATAAAGCTTTTCCCCTATGTTTTCTTCTAAGAGTTTTATAGCTTTATGTTTTAGATCTATTTTGAGTTAATTTTTATATATAGTGTAAGGCAAGGGGTCCACCTTCATACTTTTACATGTGGGTATCCAATTTTTCTAACAACATTTGTTGAAAAGACTGTCATTTCCCCAAAGAATGGTCTTGGTACCCTTGTTGAAAATTATTTGACCATATTTGCAAGGGTTTATTTCTGGGCCTTCATTCCTTTTTATGGTAGAATAATATTCCATTGTGTGGATACACCATATTTTATTTATGGCAAGCTTAACATTTCATCTCATTTAATCACTGGGTGTAGTCACATCTGTGATTTATGGATTACTGAGCCCTTGCCCAGAAACCTGGTTTTGATCATTAGAACATTGTACCCTCTGAAAATAGTGTCTATTTTGTTTGCTTGCTTTGGTTTTTGCTTATTTTATCCTTGGCCACTCAACATGGGGTTGCTGGAATCTCAGTGTAGAGAAAATCAGGTACATCTACCACAAAGAAAGCTAGCAATATATTCCTGGGAAAAATAGACAAGCTCCATTGCTAAGTTTTCTGCCTATGACTATTAGAAATTTCTAATAACGGAGCGCCTGGGTGGCTCAGTCGTTAAGGGTCCTGGGAACTAGCCCCACATCGGGCTCCCTGCCTGGCAGGAAGCCTGCTTCTCCCTCTCCCACTCCCCCTGCTTGTGTTCCCTCTCTCGCTGTGTCTCTGTCAAATAAATAAATAAAATCTGTAAAAAAAAATTTTCTAATCAAACCTAAAGTAACTCGCTTTGTAATCCACGCTGCTAATATTCTAATACCCTATCCGTAGACTGCTTTTTAACTTTCAAAGCAGAGAGTGATTTTTTACTTATTACTCCTTCCAACCCAACCCATGTGCTACGTGTGTCCCACACAAGTTTAATGTTTGGAGGGCAGAATGACGAATACAAGCTAACGTTTTTTGAGTACTTCCGAAGTACTTTTGTCACACACATTATCTCATGACCTCATCTTAATATGTTCCTGCAGCAACGTTACCACATAGGTGCTGTTATTCACTGAGCAGGAAATTGAGGGTTAAGTAATTTGCCAAGGCTGCAAAGCTGAGTTAACGGGAGGAGCCCAGGAATACGCAAAGGGCACAGCGCAGGGATTCTCCATTTTATTGAGAGTCAGATTCCGCAGGTCCCGGCGACGGTGGGCCCGGGAGTTTTGTGCAACCCAGGTCTCTTGACTCCCACGCGCAGACACCAACAAATGTCCTCTGCTTTGCCGCAGGCTTCTGAAAATACCCCCCAAACACAGACCCGGATCCTCCTCCACGTAGAATGCAAATTCTATGGCTGAAAAGCTTGAGCATAGAAAGGAAAAAGTTGTGTGCTTTTTACCCTCTTTCCCAGACTGGAGGTGGAAACTCCACCCCCGTCTCCATGGAAACCCGGCAGCGGTGGCTCCTGTCACCAAGGGCGGGGCTCCGGCGGCCGCCCCTCCCCCACCCGGTTTGCAATACTCCCAGCCGGGGGCAATCGCCGTCACCCCTTAAACTCTCCGTTCCTCTTCTCGGCTGTCCTCCCTTTCTGTTGTCTTCTCGTGCCCCAAACCACATCCTGGGGGCCGCCCTCCTGCACGGTACTCAGAGGGGCCGGTGCACCCCGCGTCCGGGCCTGAAAGCCCCGGAGCGCGGCCTTTCTGCCCCGGGCCCACCCCTCGGCTGCGCTGATTGGCCGCTCCTGGGCCATCCCCTCCCGCCCGGGGCAGGCAGGGTCTCTACCCCGCGGAAAGTTTTGTGAGCCAGGAGGAAGTTGGAGGTTTGGGGATTCTGAGAAAGCTGCTCCTGCGGCTGCGGGGGTCTGGGTGGCCATGGAGGAGCCCCCTTTGCGAGAGGAGGAGGAAGAAGAGGAGGAGGAAGGGGACGAGGCTGGGCCCGAGGGGGCTTTGGGCAAGAGCCCCTTCCAGCTGACGACCGAGGACGTGTATGACATCTCCTACGTGATGGGCCGCGAGCTGATGGCCCTGGGCAGCGATCCCCGGGTGACACAGCTGCAGTTCAAGATCGTCCGCGTCCTGGAGATGCTGGAGACGCTGGTGAATGAGGGCAACCTGACGGTGGAGGAGCTGAGGATGGAGAGGGACAACCTGAGGAAGGAGGTGGAGGGGCTGCGGACAGAGGGCTCGGCGGCCGGCGGGCAGGTGAGTGCCGGATTCCGGGCCCTGCGGGGGCAGCCTGAGCTGCGTGGGAGGGGAGCTCCCAGTGGCCCGGAGGCCGCTCTCCCAGGAATATCCGAGCGCCTGAAAACGACCACAGCGCCCACCCAGTCCTCAGATGAGAAGCATCCTCATAGTTACATTTATCGAGCACTTAATAGGTGCACTTACCTGGGCTGCGTTAGTTCTGAATCTGGGGCTTCGAGCCTTTTTGACTTGACCTAGCTCAGTGGCTCTCAAGCTTTGGCCTGCAGCGAAACCACCCGGAGTGTTCGTTAAAGCCCAGATTGCAGGGCCCTGGCCCCAGAGTTTCTGATTTAGCAGATCTGGGGTGGGACCTGAGAACCTGCATTTGTGACAAGTGCCATCGCATTCTGAGAATCTTGACCTAGAATAAGAAGTAAATTTTAAGTGAGAGAAATCAGTGCTGTGACCACCAAAAGATGCCTATAAGAATATTCAGAGCACCTTTATTCAGAATTGTGCCAAACTGGAACAAGTGCAACAGAGTGGATTTTAAAAATTGTGGTATAGTCACACAGTGGAATACTACACGGTAGTGAAAAAGAGCAGAGCGCTGATACACACAACTGTGTGCTTGACTCTCAGATGTTACGCTAAGGGACAGGAGCCAGGAACAAAAGAGAGCCTACTATATATATATTTATGGGAAATTCAACAACAGGCAAAATAATCTGTATTTATAGAAGACTGATGGGAGCTCCAGTTGGTGGGGGGGCAGTTCATAGGGAGCACATCTGGGTGTGATTACATGGGTGTGTACCTATGTTAAAAATCATCAAGGGGTGTCTGGGTGGCTCAGTCCATTAAAGGTCAGAGCCTTGGTTTTGGCTCAGGTCATGATCTGAGGGTTGTGGGATCCACCCCTGGTCCAGCTCTGCACTCAGTGGGGAGTCCGCTGAAAATTCTCTCTTTCCCTCTCCCTCTTCCTCTGCTCCTCCCCCTGTTCATGCATGCATGTGCTCTCTCTGTCTCTCTAAAGTAAATAAATAAAATCTTTTTTAAAAAAGTCATCAAGCGGGGCGCCTGGGTGGTTCAGTCGTTAAGCGTCTGCCTCCGGCTCAGGTCATGATCCCAGGGTCCTGGGATCGAGCCCCATGTTGGGCTCCTTGCTCAGTGGGGAGCTTGCTTCTCCCTCTGCCTGCCGATCCCCCTGCTTGTGCTCTCCCCCTCTCTCTCTGACATATTAATTAAGAAAAAAAAAGCTTGAGGAAGTGAAGAAATATTGAAAAAAAGTCATCAAGCTATAAACTCAAGATTAGTTCATGTATGTTATACCTCCATTTTACAAAATTACCAATTATAGCGCTTTCCAGTATTGATGAAACAAAAGTTTTAAGAAACAATTTATCTTAACTCACCCTTATTAAATATGATGCACAATCACACTTGCATATTTTTTTTTTTTTAAGATTTTATTTGTTAGAGAGAGAGCAGGGGGAGTGGCCGGCAGAGGGAAAAGCAGGCTCCCCACTGAGCAAGGAGCCCAGTGTGGGACTTGATCCCAGAACCCCAGGATCATGACCTGAGCCAAAGGCAGACGCTTAACCAACTGAGCCACCCAGGAATCACTTTACTTGCCTATTCTATTTTTATGAGTTTTTAAATTCTTGTTGCCATTGATTAAATCAATATGAACTACTAAGGGGTCTCCAGCCACACTTAAAAAAAAAAAAAAGCTGCTCTAAGTGGACTACCTCATTTATTCCTCTTACTATCAGTATATCCATTTTACAGAAATGAGGCATAGAACAGTTAAGTAACTTGCCAAAGGAATTACTGCAAGTAATTCTGCAAGTAAGAGGTGAAGGCAGGATTTGAACTCAGAGATGCCAGTCTTCACCACCGCACACGAAATACACATATTCGACCTTATTTGTTGGAATGACATTTGATGAGTGATTGCACCGTGCTGGACCCTGGGGCTGCAGAGGTAAATTAGACAGGGACCCTGCCCTCACAGAGCTCCTGTCTAGTGGAAGAGGTAAGACACCCACACCTCCAGAACTGCAGTACAAGATCACAAACTGAGAAGCGTGCCAAGAAAGAACAAGAGGAACAGGGTCACTGACATTTGCAGGGAAATAAGAGCGAAGGTTTCTGGTCACTTCCCTGGTACACTTATGTCAGCTACTTGTTCGTCCCAGTGACAACTGTACTTGTAGATATACATTTTCTACTTTAGTGTCCATCATACGAGATAGTTGAGTATCATGATCATAGTCTGGCTTTTGAGACTCAAGAGAAGTTAAGTGACTTGCTCAGAGTGGCTCAGCTCACGTTCTGAGCTCATCCCTGCCACCTCCAGCCCCAGGAACAAGGATATGGAGGGGGCCCCACCATCGACCGTGTACAGCGTGCTCTGCACGGGGCCCGGGTGATTTCCTCTGTGGGGCACAGTGGACAAGCTTTATCAACCAGCAGATGAGATGGCATTTTCCTCCCAAACCGCAGTCTTAAGAACAGGGGTGGGGAAAAGGGCAGAGAGAATGAATTAGTTTAGCATCACTAGGCAGTTCATAAAAATACACCTTATTATTTTTTTCGGGTTTTTAAATTTTTTAAATTATTTTTGATTGCGGTAAATTACATGTGAAATTTACCACCCTAACCATTTTTAGGTGCACACTTAAATGTCATTAAGTACATTCACACTGTTGTGCAACCATCACCCACCATTCCTGCCCGAATTCTTTTCGTCTTGCAAAACTGAAACTCTGTCCACAGTAAACACCAGCTTCCTACTCCCCCTCCCCCTGTCTACTTTCTATCTCTATGAACTTGCCTATTCCACTATTCTACTTATATGCATATAAAGAGACTTGTATAGTATTTGTCCTTCTGTCACTGGCTTATTTCACTTAACATAATGTCTTCAGAATCCATCCATGGTGTGGCTTGTATCAGAATTTCCTTCCTTTTAAAGCCCGAATAATGGGCGCCTGGGTGGCTCCGTTGTTAGCAGCAGGAGTGGGAGAGGGAGAAGCAGGCTTCCCGCTGAGCAGGGAGCCCAATGCAGGGCTCTGTCCCAGGACCCTGGGATCATGACCAGAGCCGGAGGCAGACAACCAGGCGCCCCTCTTTTTAAAACAATTTAAGTTCCAAATTCAAAAGGTGCAAAAGCGTTTGGCCTGAAAAATCTACCTCCCCACTTCTCTCTACCCCTAGCCACCCATTTCCCCTCCCTGGAAAAAAATTAAATGATCAGTTTCTTGTGTATCCTTCCAGAGATACTTTATGGAAACAGAAGCAGATATGAAAATATTTTTCCATTTTTTTACACAAATGGTATTATAACATATACCCAGTTCTGCCTTTTGTGTATTTTCACTTAACATAGCATGAAAGGTGAATTAAATCAGGATATAAAGAGCTTCATCATCTTTTAATGAGGAAAACTTCCATTGTATGGTATTATGAAATGTTCAGCTGAGGGTTCTTTTTTTTTTTAAGATTTTATTTATTTATTTGACAGAGAGAGAGAGAGCACAGCAGGGGGAGAGCAGCAAGCAGTGGGAGAAGCAGGCTCCCCACTGAGCAGAGAGCCCGATGTGGGGCTCGATCGCAGGACCCCGGGATCATGACCCAAGCCAAAGGCAGACGCTTAACCAACTGAGCCACCCAGGAGCCCCAGCTGAGGGTTCTTAACTTGAAGTTCTTGGACACCCAAGGGGATCGTTGATTCTAATCCAAGAGGCCCATGTCCTTGCATGGGAAAAAATTATATTTTCATTAACTTCCAGCTGAAATGTGTCACTTTCTTCAATTGTGAATGTAGACAACAAACCACAGTAATATTAGCAATACCTGCGGCAGTCACCGATGGAAATCACAGATATCTTCATGTCCCATTACAGTGTAGTTCACATCTCAAAGTTTTGTTTTTGTTCAGTATTTCACTGGCCCTGCGTCTAGCTCACCTTGTTTAATAAAGAAGCAGGTATATTAATCATAAATTTGTTTTTAGAGGATTTTGATGAGTGTATGTCACCTTAGTTGGTCTCCTTATAATTTTGTGCCTTTCCTTTTATACATTTTAACACATTGTTTGGAGGAGGGCCACGTGGCTTTCCCAGGCTGCCAAAAGGGTCCGTGGCACAAAAACGGTTAAGATTCTCTGCTTTAACCAGTCTCCTATCAAAAGATGTTTATGTTCCAATCAGTTGCTCTTAGCACATGCAACACTGAAAAATCCTAACCAATGTCATTTGGCTCCTGAGGGAGAGTGTCTTGAGGAAATGGATCGGAGGGAAGGAGCATCTGAAATTTGGATAATATGTAATGTTAAATTATGCTTCCCAGAGGCCAAGGAGACCCACTCCTCCGGCAGTCAGCACAGGTACCTGCTTCCCCACAGCCCTTACAACGCGGGGAGTGTTGAAACACCCTGATTCTTGTCAGTCTGACAGGAGGAACATGCTCACTATTACTATTATCTCTTCCTACTGTGTCTCTTTCTGTCCATCTCCTGGAGAACACTGTGGCGTGGTTGTGCCTTAGTTTTATTTAACTGGGCATCTATTCGTGGACATGTAGGTTGTTTTCAAACAGTTGCTTAAATTTTAGTTTGAAAACATTTCAAACCTATGGAAGAGTTGCCAGAAAAGCACCATGAATACCTGTATACCGTTCACTGAGATTCAGGTGTCTTCAGTTGTGTGCGTGTGTAGTGTGTAGTATGTCTTAGAAGATACACGCCAAAGTATTTATATACACACACAAAACACATATATGTGTCTGTATATATGCATATACAAAAATAATATGTATATATATTATCTATTCACTACTAGTTTTCCTCAACTATTTGAGCAGACATTTTGTTAGTTGCAGGATTAGTAGAAGATTAGGGTCCTTTACCCTAAATACTTCAGTGAGTATCTCACAAGACATACTATTGCATAGCCGCAAGTAAATGATCGAATTCAGAGGGAAAAAGTGATAGAATACAAAGACTTGATATACTACCCCTATTCAAAATTCAGAATAATGTTCTTTACAGCATCTTTTTTCTGGTGCAGGACCCAATCCAGGGTTACACAGTACCTTTGGTTGACATATCTCTTCAGTCACCTTTAATCTGGAACAGTTCCTCAACTTTTCCTTGTCTTTTACGACCTTGACATTTTTTTTTTATTGTTTTGTTTTGTTTTAACAGTTTCCTTTTTTTTTTTTAAGATTTTTTATTTATTTATTTGACAGAGAGAGAGACAGCAAGAGAGGGAACACAAGCAGGGGGAGTGAGAGAGGGAGAAGCAGGCTTCCCACAGAGCAGGGAGCCCGATGTGGGGCTTGATCCCAGGACCCTGGGATCATGACCTGAGCTGAAGGCAGTCGCTTAACTGACTGAGCCACCCAGGCGTCCCCCGACCTTGACATTTTTGAAGATTATGTATCAGTTGGTTTGTAGAATGTCCTTCAATTTGGGTTGGTTCTGAGGTGTCATGGGTGAATTCAAGTGATACATGTTTAGCACAAATACTGCTGAAGGGATGCTGTGTCATAGTGCATTGTATCACGAGGCACTGGACTCAATTTGTCATTATTGGTGATGTCAACTTGTATCACTTGGGTAATTTGGTGTCTGCAAGATTTCTGCACTGTAAAGGGGACTTTATTTCCCTTTGTAATTCATAAGTACTTGTGGGAAAATACTTTAAAACTGTGGAAGATATTCTGTTCCCCAACAAGCTTTCACCCAAAAGTTTTAGATCCATTCATTAGTCTCCCCTGAATCAATTATTACAAAGTTGGTTGAAAAAGGATGATTTTTTTTTCTGGTAAAGATTTTTTTTTTAAAGATTTTATTTATTTATTTATTTATTTATTTATTTATTTATTTGAACGACAGAGAGAGTGAGTGAGAGAGCATGAGCAGGGGGAAGGGAAGAAGCAGACTCCCTTGCTGAGCAGGGAGCCTGATGCGGGGCTCCAACCCAGGACTCTGGTATCATGACCTGAGCCGAAGGCAGTCAGCTTAACCATCTGAGCCACCCAGGTGCCCCACTGGTAAAGATTTTATTTTTGGGGCGCCTGGGTGGCTCAGTCGTCATGCATCTGCCTTTGGCTCAGGTCATGATCCCAGGGTCCTGGGATCGAGCCCCGCATCGGGCTCCCTGCTCAGCGGGGAGCCTGCTTCTCCCTCTCCCACTTCCCTTGCTTGTGTTCTCTGTCTAGCTGTGTTTCTCTCTGTCAAATAAGTAAATAAAACCTTAAAAAAAAAGATTTTGTTTTTAAGTAATCTCTACACCCAACATGGGGCTTGAACTCACAACCCCAAGATCAAGAATCTCACGCTCTACCGACTGAGCCAGCCAGGCGCCCCAAAAGGATCAGTGTTCCACTCTCTCATTCTTGTACACTCATTAATTGGCCTTCTGCTCCTCTTCATTCCCTGTTTTAATCAGAGTTCCCCAGAGAAACAGAACCCATAGGGGATATAGCTATCGACATAAAGGGGCTATTATTTGAGGCATTGGCTCATGCAGTTATGGAGGCTGAGAAGTCTTACAGTCTTCAGTTCGCAAGCTGGAGAACCAGGACGTCCTGTGAACTCAGGGGTGGGGTGGGCTGATGGTGTAAGTCCTGGTCTGGAACCAAAAGCCCAAGAACCAGGAGTGTCAATGTCTGAGGGCAGGAGAAGAAGGGTGTCCCACACCAACAGACAGAGCTCAGAATTTACCCTCATTCCACCTTTTGTTCTCTTCAGGCCCTCAGTGGATCGGATGATGCCCGCCCACCCATCAGGGAAGGCCATCTGCTTTACTCAGTGCATCCGTCCAAATGCTAATATCTTCCAGAAACACCTTCACAGACACACTCCGAAATAACATTTAACCAGCTATCTGGGCAATCCTTAGCCCAGTCAAGTAGACACATAAAATTAACCATCACATCCCTGTTAATGAACTAATTTAAATATTTAAATTTTAAGTGTGAACAAACAAGATTTGCCTTTTTGGGGTGGACAGTCCATCCTCATGAGGGAAACCGTATAAGCGACCAACGTCTTTTCTCGCAGGTAAACCTGGGACCGGACAAAATGGTGGTTGACCTGACAGATCCCAACCGACCACGCTTCACTCTCCAAGAGCTGCGGGACGTGCTCCAGGAGCGCAACAAGCTCAAGTCCCAGCTGCTGGTGGTGCAGGAAGAGCTGCAGTGTTATAAGAGGTGGGGCTCTGCTGCCCTGGGTGCCCCCGCACTGCAGAGCCACACCCCGCCTGCAATTCCTTGACACGCTCTGTATTTGTTCTTATTTTCACTCAGCCAGTTTATTGGAGACCTACTCGATGCCAGGCACTATTCCTGGCACCGGGCTATAGCAGTGAACAAACCAGAGAAAGTCCATGCTAGTCTAGGGGGGAAGAGAGGCAATTGACCAGGAAGTCTGAGACGAACATGCAGGGTTATGGTGGTAAGTGCTCTAAAGAATGTAAACCAAGGTGACAGGGGGCTCCTGGGTGGTGCAGTTGGTTGGGCGTCCGACTCCTCATTTTGGCTCGAATCATCATCGCGGGGTTGTGGAAGCGAGTTCTGCGTCGGGCTCCTCGCTGGGTGTAGAGCCTGCCTGAGGTTCTCTCGCTCTCCCTCTGCACCTCCACCCTCCTCTTTCCCTCTCTCCCTCTCTAAACAAAACAAAAAAACAAGGTGACATATGACAGCAAAGTGCTGGGGGCTTGGGGAGGGGCCTGTTTTACATGGGCTGGTCAGTGAAGACCCTTCTGAGGTGAATGACAAGAAGCAGCCAAGCACGTAAAGATTGGTGGGACCAAAGTGGAGCGAGAGCGCTAAGACCCTGAGGTGGGAACCACCATGGCCAATTCAAGAGACCCAACATGGTAGAAGTTGGAACACAGGCAGAGGATGAGAGGTATGCCTTGTGAGCCCCAGAAAGGGGCTCTAATTTTATTGTAAGTGTAGCGAGAAGTCATTGGAAAGTTTTAATCAAGGAAATGTCAAGATCTGATTTACTGTTTTGTTTGTTTTTATTTTTTTAAGGAAGCTCCATGCCCAATTGGGCTTGAACTCACGACCCTGAGATCACAAGTCAGAAGCTCTACCCACTGAGCCACCCAGGCGCCCCTAATTTAGTGTTTTAAAAGATCGAATGTGGGGCACCTGAGTGGCTTAGTCGTTAAGCATCTGCCTTCGGCTCAGGTCATGATCTCAGGGTCCTGGGATCGAGCCCCGCATCGGGCTCCCTGCTCCGCGGGGGGCCTGCTTCTCCCTCTCCCACTCCCCCTGCTTGTGTTCCCTCTCTCACTGTTGTCTCTCTCTCTCAAATAAATAAATAAAGTCTTAAAAAAAAATAAATAAAAGATCAAATGTGAAGGGCACCCGGCTGGTCTTGATCTCGGGGTCATGAGTTCGAGCCCCACACTGGGTGTGGAGCCTACTTTAAAAAAACCGGGGGCCTTGGTGGCGTAGTTGGTTAGGCATACGGCTCTTGGTTTCGGCTCAGGTCTGATCTCAGGGTCCTGGAACTGAGCCCAGTGTGGGGCTCTGCGCTCAGCAGGGAGTCAGCTTCAGGATTTTCTGTCTCTCCCTCTCCTGCCCTTCCCCCTGCTCACTCAGCATGCGCACGCACACTCTCTCTCTCTCTCACAAATAAATAAATAAATCTTTAAAATAAATTATTAATGTGGTAACCTGATAACTGAACCAGTGAAATACACACTGAAGTATTTGGGAATATAAGGGGGTAAGATGTCTCCAGCTTACTCTCAGGTGGTTCAGAAAGAAGATAGATGCATGGGTGGGTGGGTGGGTGGATGGATGGATGGATAGGCAGATAGGTAGAGAGATACACAGAGAAACAATTGGGAGGGGGGTCTGGGTAAAGAGTATATGGGAATTCTTCATACTAATCTTACAACTTTTCTGTAGATTTGAAATTATATAAAGGTTAAAAGCTTAAAAAGATCACAATAGGGCACCTGGCTGGCTCAGATGGTTAAGTGTCTGCCTTCGGCTCAGGTCATGATCCCAGGATCTTGGGATCGAGTCCTGCATCGAGGTCCCTGCTCAGTGGGGGAGCCTGCTTCTCCCTCTGCCTCTACTGCTCCCCCTGCTTATGCTCTCTCACTCTCTCTGTCAAATAAATAAAATAAAAATTAAAAAACTATTATTATTATTTTAAAAAAATCACAAAAGGGGCACCTGTCTTGCTTAGTCGGTGGAGTGTGTGACTCTTGGTCTTGCGGTCATGAGTTTGAGCCCCATATTGGGTGTAGAGATTACTTAAAAATAAAATCCTAAAAAAAAAAATCACAGTAACACGTGAAGGGAAAAGACTGTAGGACAATCAAGAGACAAAATAAGAAGCTGTTGACCTATCAGGATTGGACTTTGCTGTATTCATCTGCACCCTGTTTCCCAAAATGTTTTCTTCCGTGTAAGTGCTTCTTGAAAAGGGGGCTCTAAAAAAAAGAAAGAAAGAAAAAGAAAAGGGGGCTCTGTGGCCAAATCATTCTGGGAAACCGTTGAGTTAAACAAAGCAGATTCCCTTAGAGACAGAAGAAGGAAAGCCCAAGAGAATAAAAACTCAGCGCCAGCTAATATTTATCAATGCATACTGCATGCCAGGCACTCTGCTAAATGTATTCCAAGCATCATTTCAGTTAGTGCTCACAGCAAGGTGAGCTAAGGTAATGTTACCTCCAAGGTGTTCTAAGGTTCATGAAAGTCAGGTGCCTGCTTGAAGTCCCATAGCTGGTGGGGACAATGGTGAGACGTGGCCTCAGACAGCCTGATATCAGAGCCTGTGATTTTAGTAATCAAGCCACATTTGGACTCTGAAAGTTTAGAAGAAATACGCTGGCTCAGGGGCGCCTGGGTGGCTCAGTCGTTAAGCGTCTGCCTTTGGCTCAGGTCCTGGGATCGAACCCCGCATCAGGCTCCCTGGTCAGCGGGGAGTCTGCTTCTCCCTCTCCCTCTGCCCCTCCCCCTGCTTGTGCTCTTTCTCTGTCTCTGTCTCTCAAATAAATAAATAAAATCTTTAAAAAAAAATAAATTCGGGCGCCTGGGTGGCTCAGATGGTTAAGCGTCTGCCTTCGGCTCAGGTCATGATCCCAGGGTCCTGGGATCGAGTCCCGCATCAGGCTCCCTGCTCCTTGGGAGCCTGCGTCTCCCTCTGCCCCTCTCTCTCTCTGTCTCTCATGAATAAATAAATAAAAAGTTTAAAAAAAATAAAATAAAAATAAATAAAAAAATTAAATTCATTCAATGTAGAATTACTAAGGGAGCAGCAGTACAGTAAAAAGGTTCTAGCAAGCCAAATCTAAAAGGGCTGCGCTCTGCCAACAAGAATTTAATTGTCTTCCTTCTGCTGAGGTTGGAACCATGTTAATGGAAAGACCTGTCTTCCTCTCATTTAATAAGTACTTCAGACAGGTAGTTGAAAACAGGAACGGCTGAACTGCTGGGGCTTGAGCAGCTTGTTAGCGAATAGAGCAACACACTTTAGTTACAGTTTTGAATTCCCAGAGAGCATCAGCTGTGTACTTCCCCTCTGGTAGAGGCCAGTCGATGGCAGAATTCTGTTTACTCAGTTGGGTCCTGTATTCTAGAGAAACCAGCATGTCAGCTGAGGTATTCTCCTAGCAAGTGCATCAGTTTCAAGGTCCAAGATCATACTAATGATTGTTTCTCATTGAGGCAGATATGGGAGGCTGCTTCCAAAGATGGCCACGATTTTTCCCATGCTGCATGCCTTCTGCAGTGAGCCTTTTCCACCCCTCAAGAGGTAGAGTCTATTTTTTCCCTGTCCTTGAGTCTGGGCAGCCCAGTGACTTGCTTTGGCCAGTGGAATGTGGTGGAGGCAATGCTGTTTGGCTTCTGAGGCTAGGGGAGGCCTGTTGCAGCTTCCATTTTGGTCCTCATGGAATTTCTTGTCCTTGTGGAATGCTTGAGACCACACTCCTGTGAGGGAGCTCAAGGTAGTACCAGGGAGAAGTCACACAAAGAACAGAGGTGCCCCAGCTGACGGCCCCAGCTGTGCCCAGCCCCCAGATGACCCACCAAGCCAACTGTAAGAAATGGAGCCATCACGAGAAATCATAAATCTTCATTGTTTTAAATCATTATGGTTTACGGTGTTATGTAACAATAGATAATGGAAAAGGGGGGTTATTAATAATAAGTTAATAATGTATTAATATTAATACTATAATAGGTAAATAATAATATTAAATAATAAGAGCTCACTCTTTGCCAAGGAGAGAGAAGGATGAATCCTGCTGTCTGACACTCATGCCTCAAGAGGTGTCTCAGTCTGCCGGGCTGCCAAAACAAAATACCCCATACACTGGGTGGTTCAAACAATAGACATTTTTTTCTCACAATTCTGGAGGCTAAAAGTCCAAGAGCAGGGTGCCAGCATGGTTAGTTCTGACTCTTCGTGGCTTCTTGCACACGGCAGAGAGGAAGCCCTCAGACGTCTCCTCTTACAAGGGTTCTTTTTCTTTTTCTTTTTTTTTTTTTAAAGATTTATTTATTTTTTTGACAGATAGAGACAGAGAGAGAGAGGGAACACAAGCAGGGGGAGTGGGAGAGGGAGAAGCAGGCTTCCCACCGAGCAGAGAGCCCAAAGCGGGGCTCGATCCCAGGACCCTGGGATCATGACCTGAGCCAAAGGCAGATGCTTAACGACTGAGCCACCCAGGTGCCCCAGATTATATTTATTATTTGAGAGAGAGAGAGCTAGAGAGAGAGCACAAGTGGGGGGGGAGGGGCAGAAGGAGAAGCAGACTCCCTGCTGAGCAGGGAGCCCAACGTGGGGCTCCATCCCAGGACTCTGGGATCATGACCTGAGCCAAAGGCGGATGCTTAACTGACTGAGCCACCCAGGCACCCCAATTTATTTGTTTATCGACTGCTTCTTTCCCCAATGGAAAAACATAAATTGCATGACAGGAGATAATTTTGTCTGTTTTGTTCACTGCTATAGTGTCAGGGGCTGTGTATTACCTCACTTACTCAATCCTGGGAGGCAGTTACTCTTATTGTCCTCATTTTTTAAAAAATATTTTATTTATTTATTTATTTATTTATTTATTTATTTATTTATTTATTTGTCAGAGAGAGAGAGAGCACAAGCAGGGGGAGCGACAGGCAGAGGGAGAAGCAGGCTCCCCGCTGAGCAAGGAGCCTGAGGCGGGACTCGATCCCAGGACCCTGAGCGGAAGGCAGACAACCCACTGAGCCACCCAGGCGTCCCTCTTATTATCCTCATTTTATTGATTAGAAAATCAAGGCTTCAGTTAGAGAATTGATATGTGGTCATATTCCTAGAAAGTTGAGAAACTTGAAGTACTAGCCAATGCAGTTAGACAAGGGAAAGAAAGGAGGCATCAACATTGGAAAGGTGGGGGGAAGAGTCTCCTTATTAGAAGCAGAATCTCTCTGACTCTAGCTTTCAATGATAATATTACTAATATAATAATAATTATTATTAAGACCCTTCACTTTCAGAGCTGCTCAGACAGAAGGTCTGCAATAAAACAACCCTTTTATTTGTCCCCTTTTCCCCAGTGGTCTAATTCCACCAAGAGAAGGCCCAGGAGGAAGAAGAGAAAAAGATGCCCTTGTTGCCAAGACCAGCAAGACCAGCAGTAACAAGGAGGAGAAGACAATCATAAGGAAGCTGTAAGTTACTTGCTGCCCCGTTGCCATTAAATCGTTGCTGAAGGAAGGCAAGGAGGCCCGAGGAGGCTGGCCAGCTACCCAGGGTGGGGATGTCCTGGTTCGTGGTGCCACAGCGGATAGGAAAATTCAGGGCTGCACTGTTAGGAGATCTACGTTGGGCAGTAGTCTAAGCACTTGACTCCTCACAGTGACCCTGTGGGGTTGGAGCTGCCATCATCTTCATTCTACAGGCGGAGAAGTAGATGCTGAGAGGCAAAGTAATTTGCCTGAGGTCACCTAGATAGTAAATTGTAAAGTCAGGACTTGAACCCAGGAAGTCCAGATTCTACACTACTGCCTCCCTATGATAGAATAATACTACAACAACAGGAAAACCAACGATAATTATTAGAGTTTAAGGGGGATTCATGGGGCACCTGGCTGGCTCAGTTGGAGGAGCATGTGACTCTTGATCTCGGGGTCATGAGTTAGAGCCCCACGTTGGGTGTGGAGATGACTTAAAAAAAGGGCAGGGGTGGCTGATTCATTACTCTCTTAACCTCCAACTTTTTTTTTTTTTTTAAGATTTTACTTACTTGAGAGAGAGAGAAAGAGTATAAGCAGGGGGAAGGGCAGAGGGAGAGGGGAGGCTGAGAGGGAGCCCAGCGCAGGGCTTGATCCCAGGACCCTGGGCTCATGACCCGAGCTGAAGGCAGACGCTTAACTGACCGAGGGAATGAGCCCCTCTTACTTCCAAATTCAGAGGACCCTGTGTCTCCCGTCATTGGGCCACATAATGTGATTTCCTTTGAATACTCCCCTTGTGTTTATGCTCTCTTGTTAATCCCTCATTTCTTCGGGTGCCAAGTCTCAAACCATAGAATGTGTGGTCCTTGTTTGAAATTCAGATTCTCAGAAGTCAAGTCTAGGATGAAGCGCAGAAATCTGGACTTCTAATAAATTCCCCAGGTAACTCTGATGTGGAGGCCCCTTGGACCACACTTTGGAAGGTGCGTCCTCAGCTGACAAGTGTCCGTACAATGAGGCACGCCCTTCCCCCACCCCTCCGTGAAGCAAACAGCCCATTTGCCTTGGCTGCTCTGAGAATGTCTGGCCCAGTGACATACCAGCCCCTGACCTCTTGGACGGAACTGAGAAACAGCCTCAGTCAGGGATCTCAAATGCCTGTGGGGGCCAGGCACTTAATGCAGATGAGTGATGGGGGGGTAGGGGAGGGTGGGGGGGACATTTGCCAGGGTCCTGGCAAGAAACAAATAGCACACTTAAAAGGAGTGACTGAAAAGATTTAAAGAAGGGACATCTTACAGACATGACACATGAGAGCAGGGCTAAGGGAACCAGCAAGGGACAGAGAAGCACTCTAGCATGGCAGCTGGGCTGAGGGAGCAATGAGGGAAAGGGAAGGGGGGTGGTCAGCAGAGGGACACAGCAGCTAGTAAGACCAGGCCCGGTGGGGAGGGAGCCGGGGCATCAATACACCCCCCAACCTACCTTCCCAGCTCCTGCTGGGGCCTCCCAGTAACTGAGCCCATCCTGAAGCTAGAGGACAGAGGAAGAAGATTTGCTGTCATCCACAGAGATCAGCCTCCTGGAGCAGAGAACGGATGAGATGAATCTGAGGGCCAAGCAGCCCACAGGTTACGCACATACATAGTTTAGTTAAGTATTACCAAGCTTTCTGGAATGCCAGCATGAAAACCGCTGTGTCAGACAAGACCACCTGAAACCCAAATGATTCATCCTTCAGCACATATTTACTGGGGGCCTACCATGTGCCAGGCATTGTTCTAGGTCCTGGGGATGCAGTGAACAAGACAGAGCCCCTGCCTTCATGGTGCTTCCGTTCCAGCAGGGGAGTCAGAATGAGCAGGTAAGGAAGTGTATTGACAGGACCGTTTCAGATATCCATTCGATAGGCTGCTGAGAGAGAAGTTGACAGGGGGCAACTTCAGATGTGGGGAGTCCTGGAAGCCTTCAATGAGGAGGTGACATTCAAGCTGGGCCCTGAAAGACCATAAAGATGTGAGGGAAGTGCATTTCTGGTGGAGGGAACAGCAGGTATAAAGGCCTGAGGCGGGAGAGAAGCACGGAGAATTGAGTGAGGGCTGAGGTCAGGGCAGGGGGCAGGGGTTCCCAGTGGGGACCCTGAGTTTCACGGTGAGCACTTTGGAAAGACATGGAGGGTTTTAAGCTGGAGAGTGACACGTGCGTATTTACATGGAAAAGCTCACTCTGGCTGCTTTGTGGAGGAGGTGTGCGGGGGACAGACTCAAAGCCGGGCCTGGGGGAGTGTTTCTTTCCCAAGGAAGGTTCTCCTGAGGTAAGGTAATGAAGGAGAGAGCATCTCCATGATGCCACACCAGCTGTTGCATCTGAAGGCATTTGTTTAACACTCCTATTGGCTGGGCAGGAGATGTAAACTACTGGTTTCTTTGGGCCTCTTGGAGGAGAGTTCTTTGGGCCCCTTAGAGTTTGAGACTGCTAAGGCAAAAAATAAGATGTTTGTTCTGTGCACGAGCCAGCCTGAGGTCATGTGTCTAATGAGCATGAGGCCACAATTTCATGGTCAGACAAGCTCATTATAATAGAATGAGTGAATGGATGAATGAATGAATGAATGAATGGCTTTCTGAAGAAGTAGGTTATGCTAAGAAGGATTTTGGTCTTTATCCTGAGGGCAGTGGGGAGCCATGGAGTGGTGTGAGCTGAGGAATGACTTAGCTCTGTATAGTGACACGGTCATTCTGGCTGCCGTGTGAGTGGATTGTAGGGGGTGGCGGGAAGGCTGTGGTGCTTATCATGGTGACTTGGACTGGGGGGTGGCAGTGGAGGAGATGAGGAGTGTTGGGATTAGGAACATATTTGGGGCATGATGACTAAAATATAGCAGATGGTGGGGGAGGAGCTGAGAACAACTCCCGGGTTCCTGGCATGAATGATGAGGCGGGGGATGATGTCACTTCCCAAGACAGGGAAGGGGGGGTGGGGTTGGGGGAGGTGCCGGTATGCACAGGTTCAGGGGAGGATGGCTGAGTCTGAATACTAGCCCAGGGCCTGCCCCAGCCATTGCGAGCAGAGCTGCTAACGGTGCTCAGGGGGTTTGTCTTTGACAAGAAGCACTAGCCCATACTCCCCGTCACTGGCTTTCCACCCCACCAGCCAGCTCTGGGTCTTTCTCATAGCTGCAATTAGCACTGAGATTGAACGTTGTGATCGGCCCCAGATAGCTTTCTTCCTTTTCAAAACTTTGCATATGAGGGGGAAAAACACTGAACGTTTGGTATTCGTGTCTCAGGGCGTATCTAGGTTTTTATCCAAGAATTTACATGCCAGTCTTTATTCATTGCAAAGATCTGTTTTATAATTGTAAGTAACATGGATGCTTCCTCCACAATAAAACCTCCTGAAATTAAAAAAAAAAATAAAAAAGTTCGGACACCATTTTCCCGCAGAGCACCGCGCTCAAGTGGGCTGTGGGTCCAACTCCTGGAGCTACAACTTACTGTGTGACCTCGGGCCTGTGACTGAACCTGGCAGGACCTCAGTTTGCTAATCTATAAAATAGGGATATTGAGGGTACTTACCTCATCGAGGTGTTATGAGTGTGACATGAGCTGATAGATGGAAAACCCCTGAACAGTGCTGCCCCCACTGAGCCCTGAGCAAATGTGTGAGTCACGGCCTGCAAGAGCCTCTCACGGATTCTGCAGGGTTCTGCACTCCTTGCTTCATTCTATGCCCCTCTGACCCTTCTCCCTCTATACCCAGGTTCTCTTTCCGATCGGAGAAGCAGATGTAGCTCGAAAGCCCCGACCAAGACAGAGGTTCTCGGACTCAAGAAGGCAATGCACCAAGACTTCCAAACTCATCTCTCAGTTTTTCCAAACTCAGCCATCTCTCACTGGCACCCCCCAGTGCCACGCATACTCACTGTACTTGCTCATCTGTTTCCCCTGAAAGCCACCAAGGAGGAAGGAGGTGAGGCTCTCTCATGATAATTTTTTCCCTGGCCTCAGAACTGGACTCCCCTGAAGCCTCGGCCAAGGCTGGGGAAGCAGCACAAAGAAATCAAGAAAGCAGAAGGCAAGCAAAATGAGGCCCACTTCCTGCTGCTCACCAGCCGTCCAGAGGGACCTCCAGTGTGCAGGTGTGCGCTCTGCCTGTCTGGTCTCACAATGACCTGGGTCTTTACCACGTAGTAGCAGCGAAATTCGTGAGCCCAAAGGGAGAGGGGAGGAGAGAATGCAGGAAAAAAGGGTATTGACATTCCAGTGATGATTTCACAGATATTTAGTGAACATTCGGTTTTGCTAACATGACTTTCTTTACATGATTTTGTATTAAAGTGAAATGACTTTTATACTTTCTCTGAGTGTTTTAGAGTGGTGCCTGGAGTTATATGACCTTGTCTATGGTACTTTAACCTTTCAGAGTCTTGGTTTCCAAATCTGTAAACTGTATTTATGTACGTATGCGTATTTATTTGGTGGTGTATATATGGTGCATATACATTTCAGCAACTCTAAGTGATGCACCAGTATTTTGTGTGTTGCTATGAGAGAAAAAAAATGCTGCAAATTATTATTATTTTTAAAGATTTTATTTATTTATTTGACAGAGAGAGAACAAGCACAAGCAGGGGGAGCAGCAGAGGGAAAGGGAGAACCAACATGGGGCTCGATCCCAGGACCCTGTGATCATGACCTGAGCCGGGGGTAGATGGTTAACTGACTGAGCCACCCAAGCGCCCCTTATTATTATTTTTTAAAGATTTATTTATTTGAGAGAGAGAGAGAGCATGAGCAGCAGGAGGGGCAGAGGGAGAGGGAGAGAATCTCAAGCAGACTCCCCACAGAGTGTGGAGCCTGATGCAGGGCTCGATCCCACAACCCTGAGATCATGACCTGAGCCAAAATCAAGAGTCAGATGCTTAATCAACTGAGCCACCCAGGTGCCCCTCTTATTAGTTCCCAACTAACCAAAGCATCTTTTTTTTTTTTTTTTTTTAAGATTTCTTTCTTTTAGAGAGGGAGAGAGGAAGACAGAGAAAGAGTGAGCATGGTGGGGAGGGGCAGAGGGAGAGGGAGAGAATCTTAAGCAGACTCTGCACTGAGTGTGGACCCTGACATGGGGCTTGATCCAATGACCCGGTGATCATGACCTGAGCCGAAACCACGAGTTGGACGCTCAACTGACTGCACCACCCAGGTGCCCCCCCAAATAACCAAAGCATCTTGAGAAAGAAGAACAAAGCTGGAGGTATCACAATCCTAGATTTCAAGATATAACACCAAGCTAGAGTAATCAAAGCAGTCTGGTACCGGCACAAAAATAGACACATAGATCAACAGAACAGAGAACCCAGAAATAAACCCACATTTATATGGTCAATTGGTCTATGACAAAGGAGGCAAGAATATACAATTGGAAAAAGACAGTCTTTTCAACAAACGGTGCTGGGAAAACGGGACAAATTATAACATTAAGATGCTATTGATTTTAAGGCTCATCCTGATTTCAAAGATGTTAAAATGGGGGGGGGAATGCGTTTAGGATTCAATGAAATACAGTCTATAGAGAACAGATGGCTGCACTTTGCAAAGAAACTAATGGGCCTGCTGAACACATCCTGTGAGCTGGTTGTGCTAGTGACCGACCCTGGCTTGCTGAATGTTCTGCCTGCTGCATGGACCTCGCTTATTCCTGTAACAACTCAGGGAGCTGGGGACCAGCACTAACCCGCCAGTGCACAGATTTGGAAAGTGAAACTCCAAAAGATGAAAGTACACGAGGTCACAGAGCTAGGAAGTGGCTGCCCAAGATGCACGTGCGGGCCTGATTCTAAGGCCTGGGTTCCCACCTGCAACGTGCAACGTGCCCTTCTCCAAAAAGCACTCATGTTGATAATGAATGTGTGTCTCCCTACACCACTTGGAGGACTTTTTGCCCACTGCCTCACCGTACCTCTGTGGGATGGGTGTCATCATTCCCGTGGTGCACCCAAGGTGACAGCAGTGGGGCTGAGGAATTCATCCAGGGTCCAAGCTCCAAAGTGGTAGAAGTTGGACCCGAACCCAGAGGTAAACTCCACAACCCAGGCTTCACCCACTCTGCCTCCTGAGAAATGCTGGCCCCACTCAGGCCGGTCCAGAATGCCATCTTGGCAGAGCCTTTGATCAGGGGCTCCTGATTTCTAACCCCAGATGATGCTGTCATCCTCACGGGGTGCTCCCCTCTTCACAGGGGCAGGGAGGAGAAAGCTTTCTGCGCCTTGGAGGTGAGAGCCGGCTGGGAAAACGGATCTATGCCTCCTGCCTTCAGAACCCCCACGCAGAGGCTGGGCAGACCGCACACAGGGGCAGTGAGACCACAGAACAGAGAGAGAGAGAGAGAGAGAGAGAGAGAGAGAGAGTGTGTGTGTGTGTGTGTGTGTGGCGGGGGCGGGGGGAGCACTCTGTCTTTTCCAGGAGTGCAGAGCAGACTCAGCTCCTGGGAATGACATGGAAAGTCCACCCTCCAAGGCAACAGCTTTACATCCTAGAGTCCCAGCGATGGCAGCCCACTTCCCTACACCTGAGCCCTTCTTGCTTCGGTTTCCATCTCCTTGTCCCCAGGCTGTAGGACAACCAGAAAGTTTAGAAGCAGACAGATCGTGTGTTGCTGTCTGTAAGCCATTTATACATATTACCTGCATTTCCAGACCTGGGGGTCCCCCTGTATAAATGCTCAGCTGCCTCTTTCTCCCTCGTGGAGGTAGATAAGGCAAGAAAACCCACTCCGAGAGAAATGTCAAGTTAAAACAGCCCTGGTTCCTGCGTATCCCGGGGGGGAAACTTAAAAAAAAAAAAAGAAAAAATGACAGTAAAGAATGCTCAGATTTTAGCAACTCTTGGTCAAATCAGACACTGGGGTGTGGGAGTTCCAGAAGGTGATCCCGGGAGCATTTCTCCCGGAGCTGGGGCCCGGGGTGACCACGGAAAACTGCTAGAACTGCTCCCACACTGCGGGCTTCCTTCGCCAAACCCAGCACCAGGAGGAACCAGCTGAGAAGTGGGTTTCCAAGCCAGGTTTCACAAGGCACAAGAAGTGGTTGCTGTAGAAATCATCTTTTAAAAATGAACAAGTAAATACAGCAACCAAGTATCAGAGCTCGGAGGCTCTTAGCTATTAGTCCCGGGCACTTGCAAACAGTGAATGGTAGAAACAACGCAGTTTCTTTTTCCTTTTTTTTTCTTTCTCTTTCTTTCTTTCCTTTCTTTCTTCTTTCTCTCTCTCCTTCCTTTCTAGATTTTATTTATTTGAGAGAGAGAGAGAGAGAGAGTGCACACAAGCAGGGGGAGAGGGAGGGACAGAGGGAGAAGCAGACTCCCCACTGAGCAGGGACCCTGAGATCATGACCTGAGCCAAAGGCAGATGCTTAACCGACTGAGCCACCCAAGCGCCCCGAAAAAAGCCAGGTTTCAATCCTAACAGCAAACATGGATGACTAAGGGCTATCTAGGTGCGAGGCAGTGCTCCACATGCTTTCCCCGTACGAACTCCTGTAACGCAACCACCCGCGTGCGCACACCAGCACTGCTCCATGTTGCCGAGGGACGTGGCACACACAGAGCTGTCACCTGCCCAAGGTCACACAGCTGGCTGTTCCAGGGCCGAGTGCACTGTGTGCCCTCCAAGGTGAAGATGTAGTCATCCATGACAGCTGAATCCTCAGGACACCCCTGCACGTCAGCAGGGCAGAGGCTGTTCCCGTGTGATGGTCAAGCTTCGGAAAAGGAAAGGGATTTGTGCCAGGTGACAGGCTGGCCAACACAGCTGCTCCTCATGCCAGATCTTCTGCTTGTCAACCAAGGACTCTATCTGCCTCCAGTGCAGGCGGCCGGTGAGGACAGAGATCTGGACTGATAGGAGGGGCTTCCCGCCAAGACAGGGCGCAGATGATGCCAGGTGGTGTTCTCAGGGAGGATTCACATGCATTAGTTTTTAATCTTCTCTGGCACCTATGACCCCCACTGTACAATGAACAGACTATCCCCCTAGGAAGACATTCACCAAAACACTCTGTAACCCTTTTTTAAAAAAAGACTTTATTTTTAAGTAATCTCTGCACCCAACATGGGGCTTGAACCCACGACCCCGAGATCGAGAGTTGCACGCTCCACTGACTGAGCCAGCGGGTACCCCTGCTGTGTAACCCTTTTGTAAAATGAAGCAAAAAATTCCAATCCTCTCTGCCATGTAAAAAACAGACACACAGGTGGCCTCGCCTGGCAATAAATATTTTAATTTTTGTTTCATTTTTATGATGACAAATAGTTTTCAAGTTATTTCTTTTTTTTTTTTTTAAATACAAAGCTAAACCACAAACAGGTACAACCAAGACATTTTATCTCACATTTACACACTCTGTCGGATCCTCCTCCAATTCTCTGACCACTGACCAGGCAAGTGTGGGGTCGGGGGGGAAGACTTTCTCAGGTAGCACCGTGGTGAGGCCGGGGTTGGGGGGGCATCAAGGTTGAGGACAGGCTCTCATACCTGTCTCCATTCACATTTACCTGGGACCAGGGGAGGCCGGGAGACCCCAGGTCATGGATCCAGAGCCATGGCTCCCTGGACTGCAGGTTAACAGAGTGAGAATAGGTCCCCCTTCAAGAGGGAGGAAGCTACCTACTCCTCCTGCATCACAGTCAAGGTGAAAACTTTACCCTTAGCCTTGATCCCTGGGCTGCTGGGCCTGCCCACTCCGCTGGTGTACCAGCGGCTGGGGTAGGGGCCCTGCATTTCAGGGTCTGCGGGTTCCCCCTTCGGTTCATGGCTGCATCTTCATTTTTGCAGGAAGGACACCAGGTGGTCTGACAAACAGAAAGCCTGACAGCAGGTCTGGAACTTTCAACCCATTGGAATTGGGTCAGGGTGGGGGGAGGGGGGTGATGGGTAAGTAATTTCTGGTCCCGCTACAAAACTTTTATTTTTGATTAGAATAGAGTACCATCTCAAATCTCTTCTACAAAAACAAAAACCAAACCAAACCAAAACAAAAAAACAAAAAAAAAGAAAGAAGAAGAGAAAAAAAAACGCAGCCACTTCACGCACTTCAAGACCTATTTACATGTTAAGTTGTTTTCTGTGGTTTTTTTCTTTTTTTTTTTGTCTTTTTAAAATTTTTTAATTTTTATTATTTTTTTAAAATAAATTCAGTGTTCACATTTCTATAAAGAATTAACCCAGTTTTGGGAAACCCTGCCCCGGCAGGGCGAGCAAGCAATGCTTTTCCCTGCCCACATCTACTCTGATTACCCGCCCTGATGCTTCGAGGTGCCCAGAAAAGCGGCAGCCTGTGGAAGAGTAAACCGAGGCCCAGCCCGCGCCCGGGGGCCACTGGGTCAGTAAGCTTTCAAGAAAGCAAAGGGGAAGACTAGCTTACTGCGAAACCTTTTTAAAAAATATTCATACACTTCCATGTGCGCCTGTCCAGACGTCAGGAAAACAAGAGCTTGGGAACACCCCGGCCGGGCCTCGGGAGTCGCCTGCGCGGGGCGGCCGGCGGGGGTGTGGGGAGGAGAGTCCTGGCTCTTCGGCGGGAGGCGGGAGTCACCCGGCTTCCTAGTTCATGTTCACTCTTTCCTCTAAAACCTGTGCTGCGTCCTTGACTGCATGCACGGGAAGCACAAACGTGTGACTTGTATGCAAAAAAAGTACAAAACAACTAGAATATAAAAGTTTTGGTAATATAAGGCCATCTGTTCCAGTCCACCTTGGAAACCTGTAACAGATATTTAAATACTACAGTGAAAAGGCATCTTAATATACTTTTTAAAAACATCTGAAGTAATCTGCTAAGATTAAGTGTGTAAAAAAAAAAAAAAAAACCAAAAACTCAATTCCCTTTGAGGGCACTTTGTCCATGGAAGAAGGGAGGGGCGGGGAGGGTGGGGAGGTTAATGCTTCAGCCAGGGGTGCGCTTCGATGGAGGCGCGGCTGCGGTCCCCGTAGTCGTACAGGAGCTCCTCCCCGGCCTTGATGTCGCGGGAGGCGATGAGGATGAGGTGAGGCACGCCGTCAATGTCGTGCAGTTTAGTTTGGCAGTTTCCACATTTACTGTGATTGATCAGTCGTCCCAGGCGATTTGTCTCTCTAGTTGCATCCACACTGGCGGGAGGGAGGGCGACAGAGGATTACACTGACAAAGAGGCTTTTGATCCCAGTCACGGCCAGCTCTCGACTCTGGTGCGATGTCGATTTATGGCCGCGTTTTGGGGAAAGCAGTTCAAATCAAAAAACCATCTTTAAGAGCCCAGGGAGGCACTGGGTGGGAGGAGGCAGGAATGCAAAAGCCTCTTTGTGGGGGCCCGTGGGGCAAGTGCATAACGGATAAATGAGTCAAATCGACTCTGCTGGTAGCGGGGGAAGCTGCGCGTGTGAGGAGGCAGGGCGCTTCGGGAACTCTCCGCACCTCCTGCTCCATTTTACTGGGGACCTAAAACCGCTCAGAAGAATAGAGCCTAATAAAAAACAAACAAACAAACCCCAATCGAGTGCACTGGCCATATGGGGAAAGGAGCAGCCAGCGATTTCTAGAGCTGCTCTGGCCGCCCGCCACGAGAGGGAGCGGCCTGGTGAGCCTCGGAGCAGGCTGTCCCCGACGAGCCCGCTTCTGCCTCTCGTCTGGTCAGACGGCAGCCAGAACAGCTCCAACCCCACACGGTAAAATGGCAAGTAGGGGAGAGCTGCTTCGCGGCTTTGAAAAAAAACGTAGCAAGAGTGAAACCAGAAGCAGGATGCCCTCGTGGCTCCCGGCCCTGAGGCCTGTCCTCTGCCAGGGCACGGAAAAGCCACCTGAAGCTCCAGTGGACTTACCAGTAGGTTTTGCTCAGATACTGAAAATAGTACATGTAGCAGCCCGTCGAGGGGTCCTGTGCATACAGAGCCTCCCGCTTCTTGGCGTCGGTGATCTCGATGAGGTCCCCGTGGTACTCGACCACAAACTCGCCCCGGGAGAACTGCTTGGTGGCGATCACACCCCTGCCCTTGCCGTCGATGAGGTCAATCTGTTGGGAGGTGAGGAGAAGTGCTGCTTCCTGACCCGGCGCGGGGCCGGCGGCCCGGGCCTGCCCCACCTTCTGTTAGCAGCTTTGCTGAGGTGTATGCCCGAGACGCCGCACACTACGGACACAGCACGACGGGTAGTATGAACCGTATACAGCTGTGCAACCGTCGCCACAACCCATCACCCCACAAACGGCCCCTGTGCTCTTTGCAAAGCACTGTTACATCTGAGCCTCCGGGGAGATCTGCCGGGTGGGTGTTGCCCCATTTTGTAGAGGAGGGAGCGGAGGCTCGGAGAGGCAGAACCACGTCCAAAGCCACGCGGTGGGGAAGTGATAAAGCCCGACTCACATCCACACACGTGGCCTCTTCTGGGGAGTAGTAGGACCCCGTGTTCCAAGTGTCTCCTTTTTCTGGAATTTACCCTCCCGTGCTTCTCCTCACTCCGTTATAAATGGGGTTGCAGGGTGACTGCTTGCGGGGCCCAGACTTAAGTTCGGGTCCTCCTGGATGGGTGTGTGGAACTGGAGCTTTTTTCTGACCCTGGAGTCCCAGCCCAGACCCACCTGGTGGCCACTGTAGGGCTCTGCCCCTCTCATCCACCCAATGTTCGCAATACACGAGAAGAAAAGGAAATTTCTTGGGCCCTGTCGTTTCCCAGGAAAACAGAATTCAGGAAATATGTTTGCCCAGGCCTCATGCTAAATGAAAGCCAGATACGACAGGCCATCTACTCTGTGACTCCATTCATATGACACGTCCAAAACAGGCAGATCCACAGACACAGAGCTGGGGCTGGGGGAGAGGGGAGTGATGGCCACTGGGTGCAGGGTTTCCACTTGGGAGGATGAGAAAGTTCTGGAACTAGACAGGGATGACAGTTACACAACACTGTGAATGTACTTAATGACACGGAATTGTACACTTTAAACGGGTTAAAATGGTACGCTTTATGTTATACATATTTTACCGCAATTTTAAAAAGTTTTCTCAGGATAACGTTTCCCATGTAAAGACCATTAACGTTTCCTTCCCGAGACGTTCCCTGGGCAGATTTAGTATCTGGCCCCTTGACAACCTAAGAGTCTGACCAGTCGCAGTGACCGTTCCGGGGTTACGGCAGCCCGCCGGCCGCTGGGAGCTGAGGAGCACGTGGGGGGTGGGGGAGTACCTCCCAGCCTCAGCCTCCGAGCAGTAGACCCTGCTGCCCCTTACCTTCATTCCTTCTTCCTTCCCACTTTCAATCAACTCGTCTATTCTTTTCCTTTCTTCAGACTGGGTGGAGGAAAGAGAAACAAGAAGCACTTGAGCATTCTCTCCTGGGCCACTCTGGGCAGCCTGGACCACCCGCAGGTCACTCACGGCTGGCCTCCGTGACATCGGTCCCCAAAGACGCCCACGCCCCACACCCCCATCCGTTTCTCACTGCCCATCTGTTGTGGACAGTTTGCCACCTGGGGCTCAAATGGACCAGGAGGGACACAGTGGTGGCCCGACTGCAGAACTGGGTTGGGGGCTGGGTTCTATTTGGCATGCGCAGTGTTTTTTAAACCATCTAAATTGCCAACATGAAAAAATCAGGACTCGACTTCATATAAAATCGGCTAGGGCAGACGAGAGGCTGTGCCTTTCGAAGGGGCAGGTGTATGTCACGTCCCTCCTGATAGCCCCTGTAGGCACCCTGGTTCAGGAACTTTGACCTGGGTCTCCACGAAGCCACTGCCATGGATGAGAACATGGCCTCCCAGCCCCAAGAGGCAGTACCACCCTGAACAAAGAAGTCAGACAGGAGTGGACACTCCTGGCCTCACCGGCTGCTTAGGGCCACCACCTCCCTCCCAGATCCAAGTCCCGTGCTCTGTCTGCGCCTGGGACTGCGGGAAGGCACGGGCAGCCACACAGAGACCACCAGAAGCCCAGGCCCTCCACTGGCTGCCACGGCTGGGCTCACAGGCAAGGCCTCCACCCAGCGCTGAGCACAGACCCGGCCAGGCCAGTGGACCCCACCCACAGCGCACATGGACTCGGTCCCTCTCCATGTGGATGTACTGAATGCCTGTGGCATGACGGGGAGACCTGGTCTCTGTAGGTTTACAGACACCGCGCAAGAGCCACACCAGACACCCCTGCATCCAGCCCACACCCCAGCTCTTTCACAGTCGCCTCTCCGGGCTCCTGGCATCCGCTCTGACCACCCCCTTCACTCTACTCCCTGCACAGCAGCCAGAGGGGTCTTGTGAAAAGCTGTGTAAGGGGTGCCTGGGCAGCCCAGTCGGTTAAGCGTCCGACTCTTGGTTTTGGCTCAGGTCATGATCTCTTGGGGTCATGGGATCGAGCCCCACCATCAGGCTCTGGGCTCTGCAGGGAGTCTGCTTGAAATTCTCTCTCTTCCCTTCCTGCCCCCCACTCTCATTGCTCTCTCTTCCTCTCTCAAATAAATAAATCTTTAAAAAATAAATAAAAAATGGGACGCCTGGGTGGCTCAGTCGTTAAGCGTCTGCCTTCAGCTCAGGTCATGATCCCGGGGTCCTGGGATCGAGCCTTGCGTCAGGCTCCCTGCTCCCTCTGTCCCTTCCCCCCACTCGTGTGCTCTCTCGCTCTCAAATAAATAAAAATAAAATAAAATAAAAACGTACATAAGATCATGTCATTTCCCTGCTTAAAGCCTTCCAAAAAGTTTACTGAATAGTAATGGGTCAAGGTTGGTTCACTGTGACACATGTACCAGGACAGTGCATGTAAGGTGTTAATGATGGAGAAACTGAGTAAATGGTCTATGGGAGTACTCTGTACTATCTTTGCAACTCCTCTATAAATCTAAAATTATTCCAAAATAAAGTTTATTTAAAGAGAAGCAAAAGCTTGGGGAGCCTGGGTGGTGCAGTGTGTTAAGTGTCCAACTCCTGGTTTTGGCTCAGGTCATGATCTCAGGGTTGTGAGACTGAGCCCCTCACTGGGCTCTGCACTCAGTGGGACTCTGCCTGAGACTCTCTCTCTCTCTCCCTCTGTCCCTCCCCCTCTCAAATGAATAAATAAATCTAAAAAAAAAAAAAGAGAGAAACAAAAGCTTTTGCATACCTTCCCACTGCTACGGGGATAAAAATCCACTTTTCCGATGGCCTATAAGCCTCTGCAGGGTCCCAGCCCCGCCTCAGCTGCCATCTTCACCCCTTCTCCCACATTCTGGCCACACTGATGACTCTCTTAGAGGGCCAGCCTTGTTCCTGCCTCGGGGCCTTTGCACGTGCTCTTCCCCCTGCCTGGAACACCCTTTCCCCAATCCATTCACCTGGCTTGTGTCCTCCCTTCCTTCCAAGCTCTGCTCAAAAGGCACCTCCCTCAGTGAAATTTCCCTGATTACTGTAGCTAAAGTAGCCTTAGCCTCACCGTGCTTTCAAACTACTGTTTTATTAAATTAATGTCAAAGGACTATCTGAAATTATCTTGTTCTTTGGTTGTTTTTTAAGTTGTTAATCACTCTCCACTTGAATATAAGCTCCCTGATGACAGGAGATCTTGTATGCCATGGGATATCCTGGCCGAGAACAGTGCCTGGCACAAAGTAAGCCCTCAAGCAACGGCAACATTAACACATACACATCACTCACACAACCACCTTGCTGAAAATTAGTGTGCAGAGAAGACCAGACCAGGGAGAAATGGAGTGAGGTCTGTAACCAGGAGTGATGGTGGGCTAGGCACCTGGGGACTTTCCTGCCAGGACTGAATGAGCCAAGAGGAGCTGAGCTGGGGGAAGCTGGGCGCAGGCTAGATGCCCTGAATGCAGAGCCGCAGTCTGAGTTTCGTTCTGGAGGCTCAGTGCTTGGAGGCATGCACCAACCAGCTCCAGGCTTCCGAAGAGAATTCAGGCAGGCAGCAGCCTGGGCGGGGTGGGGGGGGGAGGGGTGCTAGATGCAGACTGAGCGGGTAAGCAAGGTCTGAATTAGGTCGAGGCTGCTCCGCACATCAGGCCCGGGGCTGGGCTGGGGAGGAAGAAGCCTGGGCACTGCCCCAGTGTAGGCTGTCACCCCACCCACCAGCAGGCCAGCCAGCTAAGGGGCCCCCGCAGCGAAACGAGGGGTTCAGGGTATCTCTCCAAGGCCCAGTGTCCACCCTCTTCCCTGGCCCTGGCCCTGCCCGCTCTGCCTTCAAACTCAATTAAGTATCCGCAAAGGTTTTAATTTTAGTTTCTCCTCTGGCTACCCCCAGCACCCTCTTATGCCCCCTGTGCCTGGGCCATAGTTTCTGCGACCTCAAAGAGCAGGCAGGTCAGAACTGACCTCACCCCTCAGATGAGGCCCAGCTGCCCCACCCTCGAGCTTTAGCTGTGCCATCAAGAGAAGACACCGCCCTGGCCAACCAGTCTCACCACCTCAGCCAACAGCCGCCTCACCACCGGGCCAGCAAACCCCTGGCCCTGGAGTTCACTCGGCAGAGCCAACCCAAACAAGGGGAGCGCAGCACGGCTCTCCTCGCCACTGGCTCTTTGGTGACGCAGCGAGCTTACTAGCTGCAGAGCAAGCTTCAGAGAAGTGAGTGTCTGTTCCCTTCTGCTCATCTGCCGCGACATTTTGCAGACCTGCGTCACGTCCCTCCTCCAGCCAGAAAAGCCCTTTTTTATTAAAAAGGCAAACTCAGCTGCCCCCGCTCTGCAGCCCGTGGCAGGCCTCGGCGAACCCCCAGCACTCCCTGTGTGGGCACCACAGCCCCGACCACGGCTGGGAGGTGTTTTGGGTTCTGGGGCCTGGCACCACCTCGCCCTCTGCAGTGCTGTCTGTAAGAGTGACCTAGCACAGCCTCCCACTGCAGGCAAACATTTTATAACAGCTTGTTCTTGGCTCAAAGACATTGCCTTTCTAAAGAAATAAAGCCAGAGCTTCTCTCTGGGGGGTGGGGATGGACCCCTCCTCTCATTTATTTTAAAGGAAGCCTCATCAATTCACATAAGCAGAGGAAGAGAATGCTCAATTGCCATATCTACATCTACAGTTTTAACCCACAAAATGCGGAAGGAGTCTAGTTCAGGTTGAAAAGCTAAAACCGATAAGGCCTCAGGGAGGAGGCCGGGGGCGGGCGGTGAGCACAGAACCTCCCCGCCTCTCTGTGGGGGCGGCGATCCGAGCTCTGCTCCTGCCCCGGGGGCGGCTCTGAGGCTGCGGGCGGCCGGGCGGAGGGCCACTGGGCACACGGCGCCCGCGGTCCGTCTCCTCAACGGAAAGGCAACGACCGCACCTCACCGCGCCGAACACTGATCCGCTGCTGCCGGACTACCGACCGCGGAGCCGCCCGGCGCCCTGCAGACCCGGCGGGCCCGGCCGGCTCCGTCCACCTCCTAGGGCCAGAGCCCGAGGGAGCGAGGACAGAGCGCCGCAGGAAGTGACAACGATGGGGAAGCAACGGCGGCAGTGGTAAGAGCTGGCCAGTGCTTCCCGGGTGCCAGGCCCGGTGCCCAGCGCTCCTCGTGCACCAGCTCACCGAGTCCTCCCAGCTACAAGCCTACAAGCTACTGCTTTATTGTCCCGTCGGACACACAGGGCGACCGAGGCACAGAGCAGATGCGTGACTGGCCCGAGTCGTACAACCGTGAGTGGCCCCCAAGCCGCTGCTCCGTGCCCCCTTGAGAGGCGACACGGGAGTGCGTGACGAGCAGACGACAAGCCTCGCAGAGAACACGCGGCCCTCCCGAGGCCACAGGCTCTCACTGCCCAGCCCACACCCTGGAAGAGACGCTGTCGCCGGACGGCGGGACGCGCCACGCCATGCGCCTTCACGGAGGCGCCGTACCGAGCCTCGCGGTGACCCCAAACGTCAGGATGACGCCCGCTAGGCCACGGCCGCCGCACAGAAGGCGCCCGCCCTGCCCCACCGCCCCCGCGAGCCCGGAGGGAAGCCGCGGAGCTCTACCTGCAGCTCGGCTTTGCTCTTCCGGGAGCTCCTGCGCACCGGGTAGAAATCCGTGAGTTTGCGGTTCTGCTGTGTCTTCCCTTGAGCTCTGGGGTGGGAAGGGTAGGGGAGAGAACAAGGGTGAGCACTGAAGACGCACTCAGCCAGGAGGCACACCACTCCTCAGCGATGATGTCACTTCCACACCTCTGTCCACTGGGACCTGCGGTCACGTAGGCTCACCTGCCCAAGGGGGCGTCGGAGTGTCAAAAGACAGGCTGCCTCCTCTGGGGGGGGGGGGGGCCGCGGGGGAGCTCCTGAGCTCTGGACTCAGGCCAGACTGACATGCTGACAAGTAACGGGGTCCCCGGTGGTGACGCACGGCAGCTGAGCCCCGATGACACAGACGCCGGGTGGGGGCCCTGCTCCCCCTGGCCAGCACGCTGCGCCCTGGCAGGGGACGGGCTCTGGAAGGCACTTACTTTTTCCGAGGGGCCTGTTTGCCCTTGACAGGCTTTTTCAGGGCTGGCTTGGCCACGGCGGCGATAGCAGGATCACAAGACGAGGTCGGAGTTTTGGGAGGTTCTGCTGCTTCAGATTTTTGGTTTGGAAAAGGTGCCAGGGGACCTCTCCTGGCGTCTTTGAGCTTCTGTTCCTCGGACTTCATGGTGCTCCGTACCGCGTTCCCACTGTTTCTCTTCTCTGCAGGTGGAGCGTGGGGAAAGACGGAGGGTTAGACTCCACCCTCCGTGTCCCAATCTCTAGACCCTCAGCTGCGTTCTAAGACAGGCTTTCAGAGGAGAGAGGATCCTGGGTGTGCCAGGCGCAGTGCCCCCCGCCTGTGAGACCCCGTGTCTACCAACGGCTTTCGGGGGAGAAGCATGTAGCTTTACTTTCAGACCCACACACTGGGCAGAGCTGTTCGTCTGCATCTTTTTTATTTTTTTTTCTTTAGCTTTACTGAAGTATCGCTGACAAATAAATAGTAAGATATTTGCAGTGTACTTCCTGATGAGTGGACAGACATGGTGGAAGGACCGCTCCCATCTAGTCTGTGAACGTTTCTGATCTCCTGCAGACCCCAGGAGAAAAGCTAAATTCCCAGAGTGGGCCAGCGTTGATGGACAGGAATAAGGTAATAAAGCAGAACTTCTTCCCCAGCAAAGACCTCTTTCCCAAGAGCCACCTGGCATGCTTCATTTCAGACTCTTAAGAAAAAAACCTTTCCTCTTCTAACGGGGCTAAAGCCCTACGTTCACGGTGGTTCTCAGCACAGTGACTTGACACTGGTCAGTGCGGCGCCGGGAGGGACAGCGAAAAGGACTCGTTACTAAAAATAGTTGTGAAGCACCAGTGGGGGTGAATGATTCACTTTTTAAAAAAACGACTCACTTAAAAAAAAAAAACACAATAAGTAAATAATACGTAGCTGGTAAGAACGTAAAATGGCGCAGTCACTTTCAAAAAGAGTCTGGCAGTTGTTCAAAAGTTCAACATGGAGTTACCATATGACCCAGCAATTCCACGTCTAGGCGGCTGCGAAGACAATTAAAAACATATGTCTGCACAAAAAACCTGTATGTGAATGTTTGTGGCAGCTTATTCACAATAGCCAAGGAGGAGAAACCACCCAAATGTCCAACCACTGATGACTGGGTGAGTACACTGGGGTCCATCGATGTGACGGAATATTATTCAGCCACAGAAAGGAGCGAAGTCCTTTCGCCCTTGAAAACATGATGCTGAGTGGAAGAAGCCAGACACCCAAGGCTACAGATCCTGCGTGATTCCATTTACTTATGTCCAGAACCAGCAAATCCACAGGGATAGAAAGTAGATTAGTGGTTGCCACGGGCTGGGGGAGAGGGAGTCTGAGGAGAGACTAATGGGCACAAGGCTTCTTTTGTGGGGTGAGGAAATGTTCTGGTACCAGACAGTTGGTCATGGTTGCGCCTATCTCTGAAGAGACTAAAAACCACTGTGTCGTACGCTTTAAAATGGCGACCACTATGATATGTGAGCTCAATAAATAAGCTAAAAAGAAAACTAAATACATCCAAATCCACCCAGGCCATTCTCACTGCCTTACATGCCTTAAGTGGAACCAGAGGGAGTTAAGTCCAAGACATCATCCATAAAAACCCTAGAAGTGCGTGATGCCTGTGAACATCAGCGACCACGTCAGTCTGAGCAGAAAAAAGGTTGAGAATCAAGGACAAAAGCCTGGCCCTTGGGCTCTCCTCCAAATATATCCGGCCCCAAATCTTAACTGTGGCCATTTAGTGACACTGTAAGTCAAATAAGCTAGCTTATGTACCATGCCACCATTTAGGATCATTTACATTCCACCCCACTCCAGGAGGGATGGGAGACTGCCTGACCACCACCTAGAGAGAGCCCCTTTGCCACCCAGTCCCTACGCGGTAGATGCTAGCCTAAGTGCTGCCGATGCAGCGAGCGTCAGGCCAGCACAGGAAGGGGGGGCCAGTGTGGAGCACTGTACAAAGCCCTCTGCACCCATGCTTTAACCAATCTTCAGAATAGCCCTGCAAAGTAGGAGTTCTCCCTCCCACTTCAAAGATAAAAGAATGAAGGCTCAGAAAAGCGGAGTGACCTGCCCCAGCCTCTCCTTGGAAGTGGCAGAGCTTGGATCAGAACCCAAGTCATTTGAAGACTGACTGAAACAGTATCACCCACTGCCCTGGGCGGGGATGAGGATCAAGCCGAGGCCCGGCTCCTACCCCTGGCTCTGGGCTTCCCCACGCCTGGTGCTCAGATCTGGCCCCGGACATTGGCCTCACCATCACTTATGGCACTTTCTGTAAATGAATTACGAGGCTTCCTCGTCCGAGCTCCTGGCAGCCAGAATTCTGCTTCTTTAAGGCAAGTTTTAATTAGAAGGGAGCTTGGTGAATTGGGGAAAGCTCCTAGTCCCCACTGCAGCTTAAAAAGGGGAAACATGTGGAAGAGAGCAAGATTTCTATGAGGTTTCAGCTTATTTTGCAGGGCCAAACAGAATTTTCAGTAACTATGTATTTTCTTGTTCAATATTTTAACTCCAAATCTCACTACAGAGTGCGCTGCTTCAGAGAACAGCACTGAACACTTGAGTGGAAAGAAACTCAGAAATGAGGTCAAGGCCAGCTCAAAAGAGGGAAGGAAGTCGGTTCCCTACGTTCACACAACACAGTTAGGACTGCCAGCACCTGGCCTGTACCGTCCAGACTCGTAACTTCTATACTTTGGGTACTTGTGAGCCTCTTTATCTGCAGCTCAGGTGTTATTTTTGCAACTTGGCAACACACTCAAGCTTGAAGGACATGCTAACTCTTGTGAAAGCAGGGAAAACCTGTTAGACCGACAGGGCACACACCCCGGGACAGGCCACTCTTTCCCCCGTGTGTTTCTTAGCAGCAAGACAGAACGTGGTTCAAACCCTTGAACTTGGGTTTGAAAAGGCTGGATAAACATTTAATATATGTGCATAATTATGAAGGAGAGGGGCTTCTGCAACCCGACCAGCTGTGGTCAGAACAGGGCCATTTCAGAGCCTTACCTTCTCGTTTCCTGTAGAGTCCGGCTAATGGCTTCCCCTGGCATTTGACTTCGTGATGTGCAACTGAGTTCTCTTCCTGAAGGGGGGAACGCATTCCAGAGCATTTGTTGGGGCTCATGTAGGAATAGATCTTTGATTGCCCGGTAAATACATTCTCCTAAAACGACAAATGCATGTTCTGAAAGAGGCTTGAAGAAGAAGATCTCAGGGCAAATGGCGGAGAAGGGCACTCAGAATAACCAAAACCAAAAACCGACACCATCTCTCAAAAGCAGGCCACCAAGAGTCGCCAGCCCCGGGAGAACAGTGGAAGGTTTAGGATCTCCCAGGTCCGAGTTAGACATTTCCCGAACTCATGTGGTCTCTAATTCTGGTCACTAAGGACACACCTGGCCAGCAGGAAGCCAGCTGTATTCCAAGGTGTATACCAGAAGCAGCCAACCTACCAGTAGTAGGCGGGTCAGAATGACCCAGACTGAACAAACTGCAGAATTTGAAGGGCTGGCCTATGTGCAGAAGCGAACTCCCCTGGGAGGAGCTGCAGGAACTCTTAGCACAGAAACAGGCCTCAGGGAATCTGATTAACCACTTTTTGGTCCTGAAGGCCTCCGGTAGGACTTGTCATTACTGCCCGAGCCTTCAGTGTGCCCAAGCCTGGCCCCTCTCAAATCAACGCAGCCCAGCAGCCTCCCAGGACTGCGGGACTGGACTGCAGTGGTAATTGAGGGGTGGGGTTGGGGGTGGAGAGCTTAATAAAAGCAGAGCCCAGAGCCAGCGCATGCAGGGCGGTCACTCTATTGCAAATGGCATCTTGGCATTAACAGGAGGAGGGTGGGCAGGCGGGTGGGGCGGTACAGGTCACTGCTGGCGTCTCTGGGCGTGGGGCCTCCCTCTCCTCTGAGTAAGCACAGAATGGAGGAGGGCTTCCCCAGAAACATTGCTAGGGCCCTTCTGCCCGGTGAACCTTTAAACACCAAGCCAGCGAGACCCGTGACCTCTCTGAGGGTCCCGGGCAGGCCCCGCACACCCTGGGAAGGCAGCCACCGCCGGGGTAGCTGGGTCTTGGGGTGCGGAAATGCCATAAAGACACAAACTTTTCCGAGGTCAAATATTGCCAGGGTCATGGCGGAGCCAGTGTGGACGCCACTCCCTGGCAGGCAGCAGAAAAGGAAGCTGCCCGAGCCGGGCGCCCCGCCCGCACGCCCGCACCCCCCGCCCCTGGGCCCAGGGCCGCGGGCGGGGGGTCCCGGGGCGCGCGCACGTGCTAGAGGCGCCGGGCCGGCGGAGGCGGCCCGGCCGCGCGGCCCCTCGGGACGCGCTGAGTGAGTGCGGGGAGGGAGCCAGCTTACCCCGTTGGTGCGGGGCCTCCCCGGGCCCCTCCGCTCCACCATCTCCGGGCCCGGGGCCGTCGCTGCCACCGCCGCCGCCGCCGCCGCCGCCTCCACCGCGCGGGGCTTGGACATCTTCCTGCCTGGAGAGGGGGACCCGGGGGAAGCGGGGGAGGGGGCGCTCAGGGCGCGGCGGGGCGGGGAGCGGAGCCGCCCGGGCCGGGCGCCGCGGCGGCGCCTCCCGCCGCAGCCATGTTCCGAGGGCCTGGCGGTGGTGGGCCGCCCGCGCCGCCGGGAGGCAGGGGCCGGCCGGCCGGGCCGGGCCGG